GTGCTCCTGCGACCCCTACTTCAGCTACGATGCTGTGACGCGTACAGGCCGCTGCAGGCCGATGGTCAGTCCGCTGGGCGGTGCCTGCACCAGCGACCGCAACTGCTCCTCGGTGTGCCTGAACGGCCAGCTGTGTGGCTGCAAGTTGGGCAGCATTGAGGACCCTTTTTAATAGTCGATACCTCTGCACGAAGGTCCGTTGCAGCGAGGACAGCCAATGTCTGGGTCACTGGCCGCACACCGCCTGCTTCGTGGGCTCCAACGGTGGCTGTGACTGCGATGGCAGTGCCGGCTATGTGCGGACAAAGGGCGGCGGTGGCAATTCACAGAGCTGTGTGCTGAGGAGCCAGTTGCTAGGAATGGCCTGCAAAGTGGAAGGCGACTGTGGCCGTGGCGCCCACTGTGTCCGCCACAGTGTCTGCACCTGTCCGGCGGGGTGGGGTCCACGGAAGGTAACGTTGCTTGAAAAGAGAAGATTTGTTTGAAAATTTGGTAATCTATTTTTACCCCCTCTCCCTTTTCCTTCTCCTAACCAGAATCAGATGGACTGCCAGGCGATCAGCTGTCAAAGCGACGGCGAGTGCCAGCAGTTTGGTGACGCTAATTTGGTGTGTCAGTCAAGTGGTGGTTGTGTTTGCCGGAAGAGCTACCAGGTGAACTTGACTCTGGCACAGTGCACCACCACCGGGGTGAACGGTGATGATAGAAGCCATCACTTGCAGCCATCACTGCCATTACCTTTTCTTTAATTGTCCTTTTTCTTGCTGCTCTTGGCTTGCTAGACAATGCTGCCTACGCTAGCACAATACATAAATAATAAATTTTATACTTTGTAAAATATCAACCTTAAAAATTTGTTTGATAGATAAACATTAAACAGCTCCGAATAAAGTAGAAGAAACTGCAAAGAAAAACAAAAAACATTATTAAATTTAGACAAAATCAATACTTCTCTCACCTTGACAAAGTTAAAACGAGAGACGCACCCAAAAGTGGAGTAGCTAAAACCATAGGGCTTTTTAGTGTGAAACCGCTCCAGAAAGAGGCAACTGCGCAGTCGCTCCTTTTTTGCCCCTGAAGTGTACAGCTGTCTACCAGCACCAGCACCACGCCCACCACCACGCCCACCATCATCACTGTACACCAAGGTGATGAAACGCCGCGCCAGCGTCCTCAGCTGCCCATTGACATTAGCTTGCATGAGGTGGGAGATGAAGATGCAAAGGAACTGCTCGCCGAGGACCATCACCACCAGGAGCTGCACCAGCGGGTGCAGCGGAAATTGGCCGTAGTTGAGCAGCGTGGTGATGAGAAGGGCCGTCGAGGGACAGTTGACCAGCAGCATCGGCAGCAGCGTCTGCGCCAGGAAGCGGCGGTTGCCGGTGCTGAGGAAGAGCACCATCTGGACGTACTCACGGCGGAAGGTGGTGGCCATTCGTTGTCGTCGCTGAAGCAGCGCCAGCCTTAGTTTTCGGTCGCTCTGCTCTTGAACCACCACCACCGGAACCGACACTTGAAGCAGCCTCACCTCTAGCTGCTTCATCAACAGGCTGGCCGCCCTCATCAGGGTGATGCCCAGTGTGCCGAGGAGCATGTGGGTGAGCGAGAAGATGTACAGCGCCGCGTACAGCGTGACGATGTTCAGCTCGGCGATGACCAGGGTGGCCACCTTTAGTGCTGGTGACAGCGCTGGCAGCTCGTAAAGGACGGCTCGAATGCCGTAGTACTGCAAGATGAGGACGAAGAAGTCTGCCAAGGTGAGAGAGAGAGAAAATGAGAGAAACAAAGGCTAAGCGGTCTCAGGAAAAAGCTCAGCTCACAAACAACAGGCAAGCAAATGCAAAGCTATTACCGATTGCAAGAATGAACACCTGAAGGCCATTGAGTACGAGAAAGCAGTACTTTTGAAGGTACTGTGAAAGAGGCTGCTGCTGCTGTCGCCGTTTTCCGGGCATGTACTTTGACCTTAGAAAGGTGGTGGTGGTCCTTTGTTGACGATGGCCACTGCTGTCCAGCAGCTCGGCGAAGAAGTCCCGTGTGAGGTGCGTCCGCTCGTCGAAGTAGTTGACGTGGAGGCAGTAGGCGGCCATGGCCAGGCTGCCCGCCAGCACCAGGTTAACGGCGGGCGGGAGGTGGGTCAGACGGGCCAGGTCGCCGGTGAGCAGCTTCAGCGAGGTGGAGGGCGGCTCGAAGAGTAACAGCAGCAGGTGCTGGACAAGGTGCCTTCAAGGTCAACAGGAGGTAGAGTGGCGTAAAGAGGCGCCATTTTTCCCCCTCCTGTCAGGAGGCAGTACGTCTGCAGGTACTGCACCATAAAGTCCAGCGACTTGTAGGGAATGGGCTGGCGGATGATGATGTCCATTGCTGCTGCTGCTGTTGCTGTTGCTGTTGCTTGTTTGCTTGATTAATTAATCAATGAAACTGAAACTGATTTTTTAGAGTTTTCAGTCTAAATAAGATCTTTGTCAAAGTTTAAATGTCTACTTTATTTTACTTCTAAATACAATTCTAGGCAGCTTTCTGCTGTCAAAGAAAAAATTGTACTCAATTTCTCCCCAGGTTGACAGTTATAAATGGTAGAATCGCATTCTTTTGCGTTGTAAAGTGCGTAAAAGCATTTTGCTCGTTTTTTTGTCTTTTGCAGTACATTTTTTCAGAAGCTAATTAATCATTTAAAATCATTTTTAGTACTGAATAAAATGCAAAAAAAGTACAAAAATAATTTTTAAATGGTAGAAAAGCAGCAAGCAACATACATGCCGTACAACACAATTGAACGTTTGCAAAATCACTCAAAAACCAAAGCCAAACACGCAAAACACAACTCAACACTGCTCGGAAAGTCAAAGACTAAACTTTAGTAATTAAAAAAAGTGTTTTAAAATTTTAAAATTAAAGGTCGGGCCGAGACTCGAACTCGGAATGCTGGATTCAAAGTCCAGAGTGATAACCATTTCACCACTCGACCGAGCACCACGATAGAGGAGCAGGCCGGCGGCCTCTTAAGCGAGCAGTGGCGGCGGCAGACGACACTCGCCGCTGCTGCTGCTGCTCAGTGCACTGCACGGCACACCACTGATCCTCGCTCACACTCACTGTGGCAATCCTCCTCTTCTTCAGTTTTTGTTGTTTACATTTAAAGTGACAGGTGCCCATCCACGAGAGAGTATCCTCACCTCAGTGATTGCAACACACATTTGTACTGAGAAAATCCCTCTACTTTTTCCACCTCATTTGGTGCACTTCTATTGATCGCCATTGGCCAGTGCACATCAAATGCATTAGCAGCAGCAGCAGCAGCAGCAGCAGCAGTATTGGCAGCAGGTGCACCACCACTGGCACAGCAATTAGCCTCGACAGGCAACAACTGCGACAACGTTTTCAGTAGTAGTAGTGTGCCTGCTTATGTCTATGAATATTAAGCAGCAGCAACAGCAGCGGCCGAGGTCTATTACGCCGATCGACTGGCCAATTTTGTGTGTAGTACCTGTACGACGACAACGACGACAACAACTACTGCAAAAACAGCAAATTGGGCGACTTAGTATTATTAGATTGGTGGCAGCCGAGAAGAGAAGAAGGACAAGCACATTGGTGTCTTCTTTTTCTTCTTCTTCTTCTCCTCTTTTATTGCTCCCAACTTTTTCCCTGATTTTGTCCCTTTTTTTTTCTACAACAGTGACGACAACCTCTTTGACTCAAATTCAATTTTTGTGTTTGTGTGACGCTAGGGCAGGCAGGCAGGCAGGCAAATAAACAAACAACAGCAACAGCAAAAAAATCTCCCGGATCTACGGTGCTCTATGGGCAAATGCTCTGCTCTGTAAAAATAAGAGTGCAAAAAATTCACTTACCACACAATGCGGCAATGATTTCCCTTCTTCTTCTTCTTCTTCCTTTCTTCCTTCCTTCCACTGCCACTTATTGATTGCCGTTGTGTTTGTGTTTACCTACTTGCAGACACTACTGCAATAGAGCAGCACAACATATATAAAATGAAATGAAAAAAGTAATATTAAGTTAGAGTGAGAGTATATTAAATGAATGAAAAAAGAGATGGCCAAGAGCGCTCATCATCAACACGAGCAGCAGTAGTCGCCTCTGCTCGTTTAAGCCAATTTGTGTCAAACGAGAGTTCCGTAATGGCGTCCCCGTAACGGAATCAATTGGCTGTTGATTGGGGGGAAAGGAGCAGGAGCAAGAGCAGGAGCAGGAGTTCGAAGTGGACAGGACTTTGAGAGTGAGTGAGTGAGTGAGCAAGTGAGTGAACATCGACATCGACGACGACGACAACAACAACAAAAAATGGTCAACTGAGTTCGATTGATGGATCAACATCGACTAGCCAGGCTGTCTCTTGATCAACTGCACAGCTGCCACCACCACTACTAGGTCCTCGACACTTGTTTGTTTGTTTGTGCGCCTCTGAAGAAAGTCAAAGTGTCCAGCAGTCTAGTAGTCCAGTTTTGCAACACAGTGGTCAACTGTTTTTCCTCCAGTAAATCGAGGTGTTCCAAACTTGCTTTTGCTCTCTCTCTCTCTCTCTCTCTCTCCCTCTCTCTCTCTCTCTCTCTCTCTCTCTCTCTCTCTCTCTTTTAGCTTTCTAGGTTCAGACAGGAGTGAGCTTTTCAATGATAACAGCACTTATCTCGTTATCTCGATGCGAACGAGCGTTGGCCCTCCGCTCTTTTTCTCAGCGAGATTGTCGCTGCTCTTCAAAAAGTGTTTGGTGAAAGGTGAAAGTGAGAGTGAGTGAGTGCAGATCAACTACGGCTACTGCTGCTGCTGTTTGGTGATCACAAAAGGGCAACTGCTCTTCAGGGCAGCAATTGACCACTGCTGAGGCTGAGGCTGAGGGGCTGAAGAGCTGAAAAGGCTGAAGAGCAAGGCTGCTGTCGCATGATAAAGCCGAACTGAAAGTGATGAAGGTAGTGCTGAATGAGGGAGAGAAAGAGAGTAACAGCTGAAGAAGAAGAAGAAGAAGAAGAAGAGAAAAGGAGATCAAGTATAAAAGACAGTAGCGGTCGGCCAGTGAGGAGACAGTGTCAAGGGGAGCACCACTGCAGTTTCAGAGGTGTTTTCTTATCATATTAACTTTGTAATAGTGTGTAAATTGTGTTCCTCATCACTTCAGTTGCCAAAATGCTCAACCCACGCCGACTTGCTCGCGTGGCCCTCGCCTCGGTGGCCCTCTGCTTCCTGGTGGACATCACCAGCGCCCTCTTCTTCGACAAGCACCACGAGCCGATGCACATCGTCCACAAGATGCCCTACCCCGTGGAGAAGATCGTCCCCATTAAGGTTCAGTGATTAACTTGCTGATAAGTGGTGGTCATTTTAACCTTTTTTTCTCCATCAGGTGCCCTACCCCGTTCACGTGCCACTGCCGCCAAAGACGATCATCAAGAAGATCGCCATCAAGGTGCCGGTGAAGGTACCGGTGAAGGTGCCCGTCAAGGTAAGGAAAAATGGATCAAATAGAGGTGTCCAAAATTAATCTCTTCATCGGTAAAATATAGGTGCCCTACCCCGTGAAGGTGCCCAAGCCCTACCCAGTGAAGGTGCCCTACATCGTCAAGGTTCCAGTGTACATTGAAAAGGGCTACGGAGGTTATGGAGGTCACGGAGGCGGCGGCGGAGGAGGAGGAGGTTATGGTCATGGAGGTGGAGGTTATGGAGGTGGTGGTGGAGGTTATGGAGGTGGTCATGAGGGAGGTTATGGTAAGTGGTCGGCAGTTTTCTGAAAAAAAGGAGTTTTTGATATTAACTTTTGGGGATAATGACTTAGGCGGTGGGCACGAGATGAGCTACGGCGGCGGCCATGAGGGCGGTTATGGTAGGTGTTCTGAGTTTTAATGAGAGAAAAGATTTGCTTAACTTTGATTTTCTCAGGTGGAGGCCACGAATCGTACGGCGGCGGTCACGAGATGGGCGGCTATGGTATGCTGAAAGAAAAGTGAAAGGCGTTTTTAGTCAATTTTTGCTGATCAAAAACTTTCTAAACTCTTAGGCGGTGGTGGTCACGAGTCGTACGGCGGCCACGAGGGAGGAGGCTATGGTAAGTGTGTGCTCGGGAGTTTGTGGTATTATCATTGAGCTTTTGTTGACCAAGAAGTTTCACTTTGATGTTTTTAATGTAGGCGGCGGCTATGGCGGTGGTCATGATGAAGGTTACGGCGGCGGTGGAGGTGGTGGTGGTGGAGGTTATGAATCTTATGGTGGAGGTCATGAGGGCGGTGGCGGTTATGGCGGCGGCGAGGCCTATGGAGGCGGTGGTCACGAGGGAGGATATGGTATGCAAAGAGGGAAAAGAAAAAAAGGAGTTTAAACTCCTCTTTTAGTTCAACTTCTTTAACTCAAACTTTTATTCCTAAAGGCGGCGGCCACGAGATGGGCGGCTATGGTGGTGGTGGTGGCGGTCATGAGGGAGGCTACGGTGGTGGTGAGGGGTAAGTGTGATGATAAACAGAGTTGATAACTGTTACTTATCAATGTTTCTCTTTGTGTAGATACAAGAAGAAATAGATAGGCAAGCTGCAAGCAGCGCTGCAAGTTTGTTGTTGTACACGTCCGAACAGTCAGTCAGTCATCACATCACATCTTCCTCGAACACACACACAGCCATTGACACAACATTGCACTTTTTCTACCACTTTTCACTAATCATTTCACCATCATTGCGTCATTCATTGTGGTCTTTCATTCATTCTTACAACATCCCACTACCAACTCTTCGTCGGGTGCAATGGCCTAAATAACATACCATTTACATTGTTATTGCTGTCCATTACCAGACGATGAGACGGCCGACGACGAGTGTGCTATTTATTTTTTTGTCCATTCTGTTATTTATTTTTGTAAAATAAAAAAACTTTTAAATCAATTTTTCCTACTATAGTGCATTTTCTTATCAGCACAACAAATTTTCAAACATTTTCATCATCATCATCATTCACAACTGGTACCAGTATTCAATATTTGAGACTGCACAATAAAGTTATAGAGCAGAGAGTGGATGTCTGCAAACATACCCAAAGATTATGGTGGCGGAGGAACATCAGTTGCCCACTCAAAGTAGGTCTTCAAAGAAGAGGATCCATTGGAGGAGGTGATCAAAAGAAGTTTCGGAATAAAGAAAACAAAGTGGGAAAACAAAGTTCAGTTCAGCGGCTGAACAAAACAAAGCAAACAAAAAAATCGGGCAATGTTTACAGAAATCTTTGCGGGAAGACTTTTCCCGCCTAAATTTAGGTTAGGTTGCATTTAGGTTAGGAAAACCCGGTTTCGCTTTTCGGGTACTTCCCCTTTACCGATTTGGCTAATTTTAGTCTTAAAAGAATCGCACTGTTGCAAGCTTTCCAACAGTGTAAAGAAAACCGGAAATTTCGGTCGGGAAGGGATCGAACAGCTCGATTGTTTGCTTAAGGGGTTCTGGAGAAAACGCCAGTACAGAGACTGCTCACCGAGGCAGGTGACAGTTCTAGGAGAGTGACTTGTTCTGATGGACAAGTTCAAGTTTGCATTTTTCTCGACTTCAACTCATTCTAATAACTCTAAATACACCTTAGACACACTTTTAGAGTACTTTCAAACAAATTTGGTCATTTTGAGACCCCTTTTTAGTCTTTTTTTCTTATCTAAAAACCGTCTTTTTGCTTAATACGAAAGCTAAACTCCCCAAAACCAAAGTGCATACCAAAGTACGCTGTGCCTCTTGGCATCCCACAAACCGATGGGCAGCACACTCTTTATAATAAAGTTTATTACTCTTCTAATGCGTCTTTAATTGCAACCGGCAGCCAGTTATCATCATCTTCTTTTTCCTAACCCCTCTTTCCTCATTTCTCTTTTTGGCAATCTAATCCAAAACCAAACACAGACNCGTCTTTAATTGCAACCGGCAGCCAGTTATCATCATCTTCTTTTTCCTAAACCCCTCTTTCCTTATTTCTCTTTTTGGCAACCTAATCCAAAACCAAACACAGACAGAGAGAGAGACAGACAGTCACAATAACACTTCTTTCTGTTCTTTGTGCACCGTCACCGTGAATGAGCAGCAGCAGCAGCAGACTTACATCTTTTCTTACTTGTACACGCATGATATACTGACTTTCACCTTCAACAACGGCGGCAGCAGCAGCAGCAGCAGCCTGGCAATAGCAACAGACGGTTATCTTATCGTACAGTGGCAGCAACAGCCACTGCAAACAAAAATACCAAAACACTAAACGTCGACTGTTGTACACGACACGATCACCAAGTTTCTAGAACAGAAGCAGCAGCAGCAGCAGCAGCACACTTTTCACCAACTTTTTACAAAAAAAAACAAAAAATTTTTGCCAGTCATCACAAAACATTTTCCGCTTTTACCCCAAACACACATCTTCTTCTTTTTGAACCTCCTTTTCTCCAATTTTATTTTTCAGCAATGAACGTCAACGACCTCCCTGAGGACTGCCTGCGGCTGGTGCTGAAACGCCTGCCCCTCGCCGAGCTCTACCGCCTTCACCGGGCCAGGGTTTGCCGCCGCTGGACTTCGCTGATCAGCTCCATGTTTGCCGCCAACCGCTACCTCCACCTCTTCTCCTCCCGCCAGGAGCTGGCCACCGCCAACTGGTCCATCGCGGAGCACAACATCGACGGCTTCACCTTTGGCGACCACGTGCTGATACTGAATGAAGCGTCAGAGGAGGGGGGCGGCGGCATCCTCCCACCGGAAGCGGCCCTCGACCTTCCCGACCTCTTCCCCAACCTCAAAGTGCTCAAGTGCTGCAGCCGCCAGGCTCATGAGGCCTTTATTCCCGGTATGCTGAGAAGGTGGTCACCCCAACTGGAACTCCTCTCCATCGCCCACCTGCCCACCAGCCCCGAGGTGACCGCCCAGCTGTGGGCCGCCGTCAGCGAGATGTCCCAGCTGAGGGTGCTCAAGCTCCTGTGCGCCTACCGCAATCCCATTCCCGAGGGCCTGCCCATCCTCCGCCAGCTCACCTCTTTCCGCCTGATGTACTACCTTCCCTCGCTAGTTCCGCTCCTCAGTTCCCTTTCAAGTTGTACCCAGCTGGACCTGAATTGGGTCTACCTCAGCCAAGGGCAGCTCCAGGCGGCGCTGGACGTAAATCAGAGTCTAAAAAGCCAGCTGAAAAGCCTCGCCCTCGGCTTCATCTTTTCACCCGCCGGCAGTGGTAGTCGTGAGAAAAATTACCAGGAGGTCTTTCACTACGTCTGCGAGCAGCTGCCTCACTTGAGGAGTCTGGACATCATGTTCGCCGACCACCTTCCGCTGGGAGTTCTAATTCCCGAGCTGGCTAAGCTGTATGAGCTGGAGAAGCTGTGGCTCTTCATCGGCCGGGCGCAACTGGCCGATGTGATCAAGTCGGCCACTGAACTTCCTCAACTGACCTCAGTTCGCCTCCTCAAACTGGAAATTTCCGATCTCAGTGTAGAGCACTTTTTCGCCCTAGTTCCGCACATTTTTCCCCGCCTGGAGCAGGTCACTCTTCGATGTCCAGATTTTGCCAGTGACCAGGCGGCGCAGCAGCTGCTTAAGGACCGTTTTGGAGTGCACTTTCCCACGGTGAAACGGAGAAAGTTGAAGTTTGTTTAGAAGNTTCGCTTTCTGAAGCTGGAAATTTCCGACCTCAGTGTGGAGCACTTTTTTGCCCTGGTGCCGCACATTTTTCCCTACCTGGAGCAGGTCACTCTCCGATGTCCAGATTTTGCCAGTGACCAGACGGCGCAGCAGCTGCTTAAGGACCGTTTTGGAGTGCACTTTCCCACGGTGAAGCGGAGAAAGTTGAAGTTTGTTTAGAAANAGGTCACTCTTCGATGTCCAGATTTTGCCAGTGACCAGGCGGCGCAGCAGCTGCTTAAGGACCGTTTTGGAGTGCACTTTCCCACGGTGAAACGGAGAAAGTTGAAGTTTGTTTAGAAGTTTGAAGTAGTTTTTTAGTAGTAGTCATGAAGTGTGCGTGTGCTTGTTTGTTTGTTTGTGTTTGTTGAAAATTGATTTGATTGTTTTGAACAGTAAAAAAGTGACAATGTCAATGTTGGTTAAAAAAGTTTTTTTCAATCTGATTTGTTGTTTTTTGGTCATTAGCCCAATCACACACTTAACGACAAAGCAGGTTTCATCATTAAAACGATTTTGACACGTTTTAAAATCTGGTAACATGTGACTAAACACTGTAACATGTGTAACACTTAACTGGTGGTCCCTTGCTGGAGCAGTGTTGATGCACATTGAGCAACAATAAGATTAAAAAACAACAAAAATAGTGTATCGCTAATTAATCAGTAGTAAAACGCCCTAGGTAGACTCAGAGATGCATATAAAAATTCTTGAAATTTATTTTTAATCAACAGACAATCGCTCTTGCACTGTTTGACTGGACTAATTAGATATTGTAGGTTTGTAGCTATTTACCGCCTCCAAGTGAAACTTGTGCGTTAGATCAACTGGTCGATATCAGAACTGGCAATGTCATCATCGCTTTATCTGACGGAGACTGTTTTTTAATTAAAAATGGTCACTTGAGGTTTATTTGAGGTTCATTTGAGCTTAAAAACCGTTCACATTTTAGTTGTCTACAGCAGTTGGAACAATTTTTACTTTTTTTTTCTTTTTTATGTTTAGCGTTTTATATTTACCATTATTTTTTGATTGTTTTTACTTAAATTTTAAAAAATGAGGCGTCTCAGGCACTTGACGCCGTTTCTAGTGCTGCTGAGTGCCCTGTTGGTAGCTTCCCTCAAGTCAGCCACATCTGCTGAAGATGAATCTTCTTCTATTGACAAAATGGCCAACCAGGTCAACCCCAAAGAATCGAGGAACTACAGTTTTCTAGTTGAGACTGATGACGACCTAAGCATGGACCCTTCTTCACAGATTGCTCAAATAATTCGCGGCAATCCACTTCATTCTAATCCTCCATCTTCCTCGCCTAGTAAGCATTTGCATTTGTTATTTTAACACAAAATTAATCACTGTGATTGCATTTTTTTTGTCGCACAGACACTTTGGGCTGTAACTTTCAGACGAAAAGCTGCCCTCAATGGAACGGCCTGACCCCCAGCCAGTGGTACTGGGTGACGCCGTCCTTTAGTCAGCTGAAGAAGGACGGCCCCGAGTATGAGGACAGTGGTAAGTAGTCCTCGGACACTACCTGCAAACAAAACCATTTTATTTCCCAATGTTTTGCCACAAACTCTTACTAATAAAAAACCAAATAATTTTTACCTGCCAAAATTAGATGCCAGCACCTACCCGCTGCAGGTCAACTTTACCGGCTCCAGCTCACACCGGTTCAACCTCACATCGCCACAGTTCAACACTGCGAATTCAAACGTTTCTTGTTTCTCCTTCAACTACTACTTTCTGATGGATTCAACCAGAGAGAATAGTCTCGACGTGGCCCTCTCCGACCAAACCCAAAATAATAGCAACAACACCGTCCTCATCTGGTCAACGGCCGGCGTCGACTTTGACGGCTGGAAGCGAGCAGAGGCGCAGATTGACGGGCGAGGAT